CCGATTACTTTCTTTGTGGAGGAAGAATCCTTTCGTGTTACATCCCAACTATGTAGAGATGATGGATCTTTATGAGTATGATTCTGAAATTACCACAACTCTTACCATGAAAAAAGATGGAGAAGGAAATTTTAAATTATATGGGTGGAGTAACATTCTTGGACGAAATAATTTCAAGACGGGCGATGTTATCGGATTTTGGTGGGATAAAAGATATGCTAGACTTAATTTGCAACTACTCTTGATTGCTTAGTTGATGGAGTGGATCTTCACAACTTCATTTTCTGGAATATATATAAATACAGTATTTGTTTGATCGAGTCCAGTTAGCTGTCCTTTTATTATATATGCATGTTGGTTTAATTTCTGTTTCTGAAGATCATGTTTTTCTTTTATAGTTTATAAATATATCTATTTGGCATTGTAAGATAATTTATTTTGAGTGATTAATAAAAGAGTCGAGAGAAAAGTTTTCTCCAAATGTTTTGCTTATACACTCAAATTTAAAGATATATTTTTATTGCAAATCATAAGACAAATACATTCTTTTAATAATCTAAAGTTTATAGTGATTATTATATATTTGGAAAACAATTGAATTTTATAAATTCACTAATTGTAATGGGAGATATCTCTGACATAATTTACGGCTCTGCCTAAGTTTCCCTATTATGCTTGCGTTAGATTGGTGGATTATGGGCGGAAAATGGTGATTTTGTTTGACAAGGATTTGCTTCCTATTCGCTGCAAGAATAAAATGATTTGGTGTGCGGTTATTGAACTTGAAAGGCACAACAATGAAGAAATGTGGGGAAAGCTGGAGTGGCTTGATGAGGTGCTTACAGTCCCTAACTCCTATGAATATGTGTGTGCTCTTTCTCCTACAGTTTGATGAATCGAACGTAGTGAATCTTGAGTGTTGTGAAAGCTTAATGAAAGCATGAAGAAAGATAAACTTCAAAATACAATTCTCATTCTTTACTTAGGGTTTACACAGTGTTTGCTTATTTATACTAGGAGACATAAGAGAGACATAGGGTAAATCAAGGACACGTTGCTCATTCTCTATCACTCAAAATAGTAAATCGATTCTCCAAAGGCATTGGATCATGTGCAGAGATCTTGGCACGTGGAGTTGTTGAGGACCGTTGAGGAGAAGGAAGCTTCATGGTGAGCTTCCTCTTGTTGCAGTCTTTTGTCTTTATCAAAGCCTCTGTATGAGCAGGAGTCTTTGATTTTGTTGACTTTAGCTGAGGATTGTTGACTTGTTGAAGGTGGAAGAATTTTAGTTAAGCATGCATTGGGTTGAGAATGTAGAAGATCAGCTTGTTTTATTTGGTACTGTTTTTCTTGATTAGAAGAGTTCTCCTCACATTCATAGGAAGAGTACAGCAGATGCATTCTTGAGAGAGTTTGGTCGAACGAAACTTTTTGTTCTATTTCCTTGATTTACAAAGACTTCACTTGCTTAGTTGCTTGCAATCTTATAAACCAATGAATATTGTTTTTTGTTTATATACTGTCACAGGAAAAGAAGCTTTGATCTAACAAAGTTTTACTCACTTATATTGGATATGGGCATGGCTTTCTTATTGCGTGATAATGGTACACTCTAAGATAAGATATTGGTTTGAAAGGGCTGTGTAAGTTTGTCTATATAGGTTGTGTTAGATTTGCGGTTTTGTACAAATACGTACCTTCTAGTGACAGCATTGGTATGTGATGATTGTTCTTAAAATATGCAACACGCAGGAGTTTTGGAGAAAGGTAAATTACTCTGTTTTTGTTGAATAGGAAGGGTTCAATTAGTAGAGAATCTATTGAAGTAATGATATTCATGAAGAAAGTCCTAAACTCGTAAATACAATGACCACGCAACACAACTTATTGTGTTATGCATACAAATATCTCCTTAACATAAATCTTCATTTCTCAAATTCCATTAATTTTTATTTAAGAGTTTCCAGAATCTTTTTCATTAATTAATCATCAAAGTAAACTGATTAATACTCAAAGTAAACTGATAAAATTATTAAATAATATAGGCATTGTTTAAAGACACAAAGACTGCTCATGAGCTTAAGAACAGAGATTGCCTCGAGAGTGCCTTCATTGTATTTTTTTTAATATAAGAGAAGGCTCTCTAAAAATGGCATTTTCTCTTCCCATTTTCTTCTTCTCTCCCTTCTCTAATAAATAATAAGATTAAACAAATTAAAAGGATAAAAAATTTAAACAAAGAAGAAACGAAAATGTGAAAAGCTATGAGAGGTTAAGGAAAATTCAAGATCTAAGGTTGTATTTAAATTTTGAACCCTTGTTCTTGTTACATATAAGCCCTCTAACATACAAAGATTCCCAAATAAAAAAGACAATTCTTGTTCACAGATTCTGGAAAATTCTAATTTGATTTAAAGGGATTCGAAACCCTAGCCGTCGTGGGGAAGAAATGAGAAGACGAAGTGATATTTATAAAGTGAGTCAAGAGGGGTAAAAATGTCTTTCTGTATGGTTTGACTATAATCCTCTGTTTCAGAAAGAGAGTTCTTTGGACTTGGGTTAAGGCTAATAAATTTTCTCTAAATTTAATTCAACCGAACTAAATTTAGTGACTAAAAAATGATAGTGAATTATTCATCTTCTCAATTTGTGACTGTAAATTTTCTTTCATGATTGCCATTAAGTTCATTATCAATTTCAATTTACAATCATGATTTGAAATAATCTTAAATTCATTATCATTTAAGATTATTATATCTTACTATTGCAGAAATGAATTCTGAAAACCTATGTGTAGTGTAATTAACCATTTTGTTTGAATAATTTAAAGTCAGCTATAATATTCTTAAATGATAATAATGACTGTAAAAATATTCAAAAATGATAAATGACTGTAAAATTTATTATATCTAACTATTGCAGAATCAATGAATCTAATGACAATCATGCTGGTAAATTAAAAATGATAAGGAAAATAGTGATGATGACATTCATAAATTCTAATTACAATCACCCGTGAATAAAAATTAAAATCTTATGATTATAAAGAAATAGTCTTTAACACATAAACAAGTTCTTTTATACAAGCCTTACATGAACCTTTAAAAGTACATTTAAAACCCCTTTTTTATACAGATTCTTGTGTCTCTTGAAGCGTTGATTACCCACAAGATGGCAAAATTGGATCACAACAAAACATGGAGCATCCCAATAAGTTGACAGGTTCAGATGATACAATAACGTTTCCAGCAGATTTATTAGAAGTCCAATTGTTTCCTTTGTGGGGTGTGGCTCGTACCAAACAAGTGTGTAATGATGATAAATTGGGAGAGCTAGTGAATGTTCATGATTATTATCTTTATATTCCGACATATCTTCCATTGAAGAAAGACAAAGATGGGAATTTCACGTTATCTGGTTGGAGTACGATTCTTGACAGAAGACAATTCAAAAAAGGCGATACAATTGGATTTTGGTGGGACAAACACTACACTAGACTTAATTTCAAACCTTTGGTTATGAGTCTTGTTCCATAGTTGGATACATCTTAATCTTCGCTTATCGCTATTTCATTTCGAGTCTTGTTCCATGATGGATACATCTTCATCTATGCATTGTGTCTTGTGTTCTTTATTTTTACTTTTTAAGGTGAGATTATAAAACGAAAGGCTGAAAACGTTAGGCACAATTAATACATTAACGAAATTAATTCATAATGGAAATGAACTAGCTAGTACAGAAATCTGAAAAACAAAATCTTGCTTAACATACTTATTCGTTTATTGGCTTTAACGATTTATCATCACTCCGTGCATTAGAGATCTCCACTCGTTAGCCACCTTCGAAACGAGTTATGTGCACCAAAAAAAGCAATAGTATGTATCTGATGTTCCAACCATTTTCAGCACGATAGGGTAAATTCAACGAGAGTCAATGCAACGTAACTTACACTTCCTACATAATGCTCGAGACACACTATTATTAAGCACAACCTCATATGATCCGTTCGAATCCTTTACTATGCTTCTTGGCATGAGCCCTGAAAACTCTCCAAGTACACACTCTTTATGCAAACTAGCCCGGTGATCTTTACACGTGTAGAACCATGTCTCTGGATTGGTTTCTTTTTCACAAATGTCACACCAGTATTTACCCCTTGCTTTTTCGCCATAGCATAGTGATAGAGGATGATCGTCAACCCTATGCTTTACCACTTGTGGTAAAGTGGCACATCCAAAGCATATAAAAAATATACAACCATTTTCAATGCATCCGAGCATTCTATATTCCACCCTGTTACAACCATTGCAGAATTTGTCTTTCCTCCGTTGAATTGTAATATAAGGGATGATAGGGATGACTTGGATGGATAAATGGCTCAGAAATTGAAGTGCAAATTAAAACATCAAAGTCCCTACCATCATTCTGGTACCTGAAACCATTGGAGATTCTATAACAAGCATCACAAAAAAAGGAGTCAGCTTCGTTTGTGACTAATGTAAGACGTTCATTGTGTAGCACGTGCCATTTCTTTCTAAGAAATCCAGCGCAGTTTTGGTGGAGAATGAAGTCACAATCCATACATCCGTAGAAGGATTGGAGACAGATGGGATGGTTGCATGCGCTACATCGCTTGTTTTCTTCACATAGAACACCATTAACGTGGAGTCTTAGGTAATGCTCTGTGTGGCTAAAATGTTGTATTGTGTTTTCATCTATTACCACATATGGTTCTACATCTTCTGTTTCTTCAGGTACTCCTTCGAGTTCTTTCCCGTTCCACACATCTTCTCTAGTAGCACATTTCGAATGAATGATATAGCTAGGATACCGCTGACAAGAATTCACAACACCAATAAGAGAAGTTCGAGAAACACGGTGATCATGCCGATTAATGTTTATGAGGCGTGGAAGGGCTAGACAGTCTTTGTGTATCATGAAATCACATTGACAACATTTGTAAGGGCTTCGATCTCCCTTCAGCCCACAAGCATTACATGTAAAAGAATCGAGCCTTGGGATAAGGGTAAGCTGGTGATCATGAGTTTTCAAATCCAGAAGAGATTGTTGTGGTGGATTTAAAACACAACGCATATCCAAGGTGAAGTTACAAGAAGAACAATGATAAAAGAATTCATCAACCTTCAATCCGCAAAGACGACATTTTCCATCAGAATATTCGGGTGATCTACCCATGAGGAGCTTAAGAGGGTGCAAGGATGGGAAGAGTGGTTTACCTCTAACGGGTATTTTAACTTTGATGGGTGCCATACACAATCCACATGGAAAGCTAAATCACATTCATGACATTTGTATGGAAACCCATAACCATCAATACCACATTTAGCATCACAATCGAACTTGATCAGCTCCTTGAGAAGGGTGAGCTTGTGGTGATGTTTCTGAGAAATGTCAATAACCTCTGGTGGAGGGTACTTGGCACAATATAGATCCATCGTGAAGTCACAAATCTCACAACAAAAGAGATTCTGAACAAAGTACTTGCAATCTCTGTTCCTTCCACATAACTTGCAATCAAAAACTGGATAGCTTTCAAGCTGAAGAGTATGACTAGAGTGAGATGGATGCTCGATATATTCGGAGAACTCACCACATTTCTTGTGAACGAAAAAATCGCAGGTTTTACAATAGTAACCATCACTGATAACTTCCAAGCGTCCACAACAATCACCTCTCCTTAGATCAGTCCATGGCATCATAAGATGCGCGTGGATGGGTAGTGACACTCCCTTAGAATCCATGGTCATATACTACGAGATAAGAAGAAGTAGAAGAAGTAGAAGAAGAAGAAGTTGGATCTGAAATCTCAAAGCTATGCTCCTTTCACGTTTCTTTATCTCTCAAAAGTCTTCTCTCGTTAATCTCAACGATGCTCTTATAAAATTCATAGTTGTATTTAAATATATCAGACTTTTGAATTGGTAGTCCCATAGTTTGGATAAATCAACATTATAATGATATACCATTCATCACTATAATTCGTAAAAATAAATAACCTCTTTAGAAAAAAATACAACTTTGTATGTAATTTCACAAACAAAGAATACATGACACATTTCAGAAACAGATACAAGTCCAGATGATAAATGATTCAATAAACAGAATAAACTCACAAGTAATTGGCCAGCCATGGAAGATCCTTATTGTCTTTCAATGCAAAAGCAACATCATCACTTGGAAAATTCAGCTGCAGCTTCTGCAATCTGTGCTTCTCTCCAGGTTCACAAAGAATGATTCTACATTCACCAAGATCGCAACCGATTTTGAGAAGAATGTCCCAACCTGGAAAAGCTTCTCCATTGGTTAAGCAAATAGATGATACTGTCGTTGCCACTCGGTCAAATGTTGTTTCTGCCATTCCTGTTTTGTAAAGCTCGTGAACCATAGCCGTCAAGAAAATCTTACTTAGTTTCGATACGGTTTTCATAACTTGAATATGAGGAGCCTGAAACATTTCTTGGATGGCTGCTTCTACATCTGCCATAATCACCAGCTGATTCTTTGCGGTTTTGTTACTCTTTAGACGGTGATCCGCTACTTCTGCAGCTCGCCTGCATATCTCAAGCGCACGTCTTGCATCTCCTGAAATCGCAGCTACTTTTCTCGAAGCAAATTCAATAGCTGTCTTCTCAAAAGCATCGATTCCTTTCAACCTTGTAGAAATGATTTCTTGTAGCTGAGTGTGGTTATAAGGACCGAAACACAGTCTCTGTATACCCATTCGGCTTGAAATCCGAGGAAGCAACTTCTCTGGAAGATCCATAGTGTTTGCTATTCCCAACACAACCAATTTGGAGTTAGGCTTTGTAGGCCAATCCAGAATGTTGTATAAAACCGACTGATTTCTAGTTACTAGAAGATCAAGTTCGTCGATGAGAAGTATGCAAGGCTTTTCATCTTCCTTACCAATCCTTTTTCCTTCTGCAAACCTCTCATTTAGAGACTGTAGAGCTTTCTTCCAACTGACTCGATGACCACTCAATGCTTCATAGATAACACTGTAAATGTTCTCAGGTGAAGCCAATTTGAGACCATTGATCTCCACAAAGCAATATGGACTTACGTTTCCCTCTTCAACCTCAGCCTTCAGATTCTTCATAACCGATAATACACTAATAGTCTTCCCAGTCCCGGGAACACCATGAATATACATACATCTTCCTAAACACTGATCATCCGAGATTGAACCTTTTATAAATGCAGTGATCTCTTCCATTTCTTTGCTTCTACAAGGAAGAGACTTAGGACGTGTAGCCAACAACAAAGTAGCTTTCGCCTTTTCTAACTCACTCTGCTTATGACATCTCACATGTTCAGGAATCAGCTTCATCCCCACCTTCTCAAGACCAAAGAAACGCCCTTTACGAGAATTCGCACCTCCTCTTGCACTTGTTAAACCTCCTCGCTTACTCTTCGAAACCCCACGGACACTTTCTTCATCATCAAACTCCATCTCTTCATCACTATCAACCTCCTCCTCTTTCCTACCATTCCACTCTTGATCACTATCCGAATCTCCATCAGCCAATTCGGCCAAACGCTTAAAACTACGCCAATGCACATCATACTCATACTCACACAAAAACACATCATCACCATCATTACTCGCCTTCGAAAACTCCTTAGGACACTTCACAAAACAATGCCTAAGAATACATTCCATCTCTACATCAGCAAAATCATTCGTCAAATAAAGCTCTCGCTTCAAATTATGCGGTTGACGCCCCGAAACCGTCTCTTCAGGTATCATATACCAACGAGCTCTAATCCAATACACACCACCATCATCATCAACTTCTTTCCACAACTTCTCGATTCGAGCCGCCCATAAATCACCGGAAAGAAGCTTCTCCCTCATCGTTCTCGCTAATTTCTTCCCTTCCGGTGGCTTAGGAACCACAAGTGTTGCCTGACCTGACTTTTTAACCTCACAAAATTGACAGATCCAATCACCTTCAGGAACTTCCTTCAATGGCGGTTTCAAGCATTTCAAATGAAATCCACCTAAACAATCATCACACTCAATCATTATGTTAGTATCTGATTTGAAACAAATCTGACAATCTTCAATTTCTGGATCTTCTTCTTCATCTGAATTCGCGTCTTCTCTTCTCTTGACATACACATCATCACCGATTTCGAATTCGGTTTCATCGAATTCGACTTTATTGTAATAAACTCTCTTCTTCTTCGTCTTCTTAATCGTCTTCTTAATCGTCTCAGATCGAATTGGTGAAACAGGAGAGAAGGAAACTTCCGAATCGATCTTCTTCTTCTTCTTCGGAGTTTCTGATTTCTTCGACTTCTCTGGAACAACATCAGTGATTTGTTTTCTGGGCGCTCGTTCTCGTTTTCGAATTAGATTCATTTCTTCGATTGATTCTCTTCCTGGAACATCGATTGGGTCATTTCCCAGATCGATTTTTCGAGAAATATGACGAGCGGATCTACGAAGAGGAGTTAGAGTTTCTGGGGTTTGAGGAGTGAGTGAGGTTGAAGATGGTGATAGATACGATTTGCGATAGATGTTAGTCGGTGTTTTGGTTGGGGATTTGAAGGTTTTTGCTCTTGGAGTCGAAGCCATGGATGGTCTAAGCTAGGGTTTTTCTGGGTGAAGAATGAAGAGAGATTGAAGAAGAAGAAGAAGATGATGATGAAGTAGAAGAAGAAGAGGGAGGTAGAGAGAGAAAGTTGGCGGGAAAAGGTGGCGGACACTTCTTCTTCGCATAGTCAATCGCATCAGAGTTTGCGAGAAAAGGGTTTGACTTTGGGCTGAATATTGGGCTTAATAACCCAACTCATAACTTTAGGATTGGTTCTACAATATGTTTAATTGGGCTTTTATATAACTGGGCCAATTTTGGTTTATAATCAAAAACATAGTTTTCCTTAAAGTTATGTTTTTCTGTTTGATATTTCATAATTTCTTTAAAAAGTTTTATTCAAAATACCAAACACAACTACATGATATGATATCTTCTATTTTTGTAACTATTTATGTAGAAGCTGTGCTCTTGTTGTTATTCTAATTTCTAATAAATCATAGAGAAAAACCTAAAACTTGTGTTGCACTCTAGCAACTTACGGTAATTTTAAAACCCTAAAATTTTAGGGAGACGATTTACTCGAAAACACCAAGAACAGAAGATAGAGGTTATATGGATGATCTCAGCTTGTCGGACTTGAAAAAATCGAGAAACTTGTAAGTTCCTCTTTGATCTTATCCGTCTTTACTTTCTCAATCTTATGTATCTACTTGAGAATTTGTAATAATTCAGTTTTTATCAAATTAATTTCAGTTTTCATCTCATAATTATGTTTCTTGAAAAGAAACTAGGAATCAGCAGAGGAGAAGATAGGATAAGCTTATTACCTGAATCTTTGTTATGTCATATACTTAGCTTTCTTACAACTGAGGAAGCTGTTTGGACAAGTGCTTTGTCCTCTAGATGGAGAACTCTCTGGCAATGGGTTCCGACGTTAGAATTAGACAGTGTCTATTTCCCAAATAACAAAGAATGTGTGGATTTCATCAACAAGTTTCTGAATTTCCAGAGCGAATTCTACTTGCGTGAATTCAAGTTAATCACTGGAGGTCATGTTTCTCGTTACGAGCCGTGTTTAAGTAGAGTGATCAAGCACAAGATCAAACATTTGCAAGTTGATAATAAGCTTGGATTTCGGAACATTAAGATACCTTTAAACCAATCTGTGTGTGAGAATTTGGTATGCTTAAAGCTCCATTTTGCAAGGCTGGCTGATTTTGAGTCTCTTTCCTTACCTTGTCTCAAGATTATGTACTTAGAAGGTGTTAAATTCCCTAGGTATGTAGTTGTGATTAATACTCCGAGGCTTGAGTATATGAGTCTCATAGATTACAAATTCAGAAGATTATTGAAGATTATCAGTATGAGTGACTCTGTCAAGGTTGATATTGATGTCGACTTTGATGAGCCAAGGCGTCATAACTTATCGGAAAGAAATATCATCTATAATCTTCTCAACAATTTTTCCGCCGTTGGAGATATGACCGTCTCATGCAAAACTCTTAAGGTATATATAAATCTGATGGTAAGCTCTAAACTATTTCACCACCATTGTTTTAACCAATCAAATGTTCTATGACTTCTTCTCTTTGGTGGCAGTTAATCTATAGTATCCAGCATATGAACCCACTACCCAAATTTCGTGACTTGACCCGTATGCGTGCTACTATGTACTTAAATGCCTCTCTGGAAGTATTGCCAATGGTTCTTGAGAGCTGCCCGAATATGAAACACTTGACCTTGGTAATGACTTGCTTAAACTTTGCAATTTCTTACCTAAGAAAGTTTTTTTTCAACTGCTCATTAAATCTTGTTTGGTTTTTGTTGATTTATGTTTGTAGGAATTAGTTAATGATGATCATCCAGAGGCAGTAGTAACTGAGCTTTCGACTGTGCTATCATTTTGTTTGGTATCGTCCCTTGAATCTGTCGAAATGGAAAGCCCGATCACGGAGAAAGCAACAGAGAAGAAACTAGTTAGATACTTTCTAGATAACGCGACATCACTCAAGAAGCTTGTTCTACGTTTGAATCTACCTCATGGAGAGAAACAAGAGCCTGGTCTCTATAAAAAACTCTTTGACTCTCCGAGACGCTCTAGTGTGTGTCAATTTGAAGTTACTACAGTGGTTCATACTGCAAAAGTATGACTAAACTTGCTTGTCAGCTTCAAGCATACATTGTTCGAGATAGACATAGTTGGCAACTATGCTTTGGTGCAAAATGGTTGTACATTTATATAGAAAACAAGTTAAGTGAAATTAACTAATTAAGCATTCCTCTTAATTTTGTAATTTTGGTTAAAAAAAGGTTTTGTGGAAGTTTATAACCATACCATAACACTTTTTTTTTCCACAACCATACCACAACACTTTTTGACACATCTACATCTGTTGGATCTATCATGGAACCATTTAACTGGAGCTATATCATGAACCAGTTACAGTGACTTTGTTTTGGACATGGAATGGCTCTTGGAATTAAGCATTTCTCTAAATTTTATAATTTTGGTTTGAAGAAAATGCAGAAAAGTTATATATTCATAGTACTCACACCAGTATTTCATTATCTAACTATAACAAACAATTTATAAGCCGGCGGTTTTTTGGGTATTCAAACAAAATCAAGCCTTGACATGATGATTTTTTGGAATAAATCTGCAAGAAAGATGAGTTTTTAATAAGAACCACAAGGCTTCATCTTCATCATTCTTTTGCAATAATAGGAGCTGCTTCAGATGCATAATCGTGCCTGCAAACCACACACATCAATGTAAAAACAGAGACAAACACCAATGGTGAAGTTTAAAACCATGATGTAACTCATAACCAAACTATGTTCATTAGAAAAAACAAAAGGAGTGTTCTTTTTGCCATTGCAAATCAAAGCAGAGCACTTCAACACATATCTCATGCAACTGTAAATAGGAATGTTCTTTAGATCTTACTTTATTTTACGAGTAAGTTGGTATATGCCTGTCACGGCCATTCCAAGACTTACGCTAAAGAGATTCCAGTTTTTCTGTAAACAAAAAGTTGAAACAAAATCATAATCAACCAGTAATCCACTACAAGAGCAAAGCAATAGAAGTATACAAACTATATCATTAGTACTCAGCCAACATACCGGAGTGATTACAGTACTGTAACGCGACCAAACAAGTCCAGTGCCTGTGATCACTGATACAATAGATATTGCAAACAAAAACTGTAAGAAGATTGAGACATGGCGACACAATGAAAGTGATATGAGGCATCATATAAACATAGAAGTTCACACATCGATACATAGCCGAACTATATCTAAGAGTATACCAATTTGTTGAGGGTATGAAAGGGTCTCTGGAGGTTTTTGAAAGTCTGCAATGTTGGCAATGCTTATACCCCACTTGAACGTCGGCGCCCAAAAATGAACTGACAATACAAAATGATTTTACAGTTCAGGTTTTTGTAGAAAGTTTGATCAAGCTACCAAATGCACTTGTTTGATTAAACTTGGAATCCAATCCACTAAAGAAAAACAGAGCATTTTAACCAAACCAATCTAAACCGAACCCAAATTGAATCAGAATCTATGTCTAAACGATAACCATTCGGTTAAGCTTTTCTTCAATCAAAATTCCTACATAGTCAAAGTTCGTAGCAACATATCAATACATCCTCAGATTTAAACGTGATGCGGAGAGACTTCATTTCAGATACTTGTTCTAAGACAAAACCAACCAAACTAAGTAGGATCTGTTACGGAGTCACCCAAGAATTGGAAATTTAGGTTTGAATCAAAGCAAATCGAGCAACAAAAGATGAAAATTCAATGATCAAGTCTCACAGTGCGAAAAGTCAAAAGTGAAGAAACATTCATGTATTCATGGATGTTAAAAACTCACTTGTCTTAGGTCCAGCTGGATGATTCCAGAGAGCTTGAAGCTTCGAAGTTGCCATCGATTTTTTCTCTGTAATCTCGTAAAAATTTCTCTCAAGAAATATTCTCTAATGTAACATTGCTAGTCAAACAAAAAAAAAGTTATTCGTTCTTCTTACTTGTTCCTTGTGGTTGGCTGCTATTGATTGCGACCTTGTCTAACGGTGTTTAATAGTATATTGCCATCTATAATATATAACGAATCAAAGTGATTACTTGAATGTCACTTAAGTTAAAAAAGAAATTAAAGAAAAGCAAATTGATTGTCACATTTAAGGTAAAGATCAATTAGAAAAAGTGATCTCTTTTCCTAAACGAAAATATAGTAAACCAAAAATCAAAATGATTTTAAAAAATAATAATCCTAGTGATAGAAAAATATCTTACAAAGTAATATGTATTGCATTAAATTATGCAATTGAACATAATAAAACCAAAATTCACTAGACTAATACTTCGTTATTTAATTTCATTTTTGTATATCCAAACCGAACCAACACCAACCTGAGCGACAAAAACTCAAACCGAACCAAAACAAAATCCGAAAATTATAAACCGAATAAATGCACAAGCCTAGAAAATATTATTATATAAAAAAACATTTGTGTTCTAAGAAAAAATCCAAGTGATTATATATATATATATATATATATATATATATAATAGTTGTATATGACGATTGTCATTTGTAAACTTTATATAGATGCAAGGTTTATCGATGACAAAATTTGCATTTTGCAGAGGAAGCGTCCAAAGAACTAAATGAACAAACAAAAAGATTTTAAAGGGACTGACCCTACTAATTAGTAATTACCATTCAGATTTCCTATTTTGAAAATAGTGAATTTTTATAATTCTTTTGTGGGGGAAGATATCATTTGGAATTTATGTGAGTCGTTGGATCTGTCGACCCATGATCAATAATGGAGGGGCATATGAATCATGATGAGTGAATATGAAATGTGAGGGAATTGAGGATTTGAAATTGAATTTGCATGCTCTTCTTTAATTCTTCTTTGGTTATTGTATCATACCCACAATTTTTCTCTAATGTGGGTAACCCCACATACCTTTTCATTAAATAAAACATTGTTATATATTTGGTGTTTGTAACATCTTCTTTGTTTGTTTGGTAAAATTGTTTGTAACATCATGCAACAGCACAAACGTTTAAATGAAAACACATGCAAAAATAACTCTTTTATGATATTAAAAATTCAATTCGAAATTGACATGTTGTTCAAGTTTGTAAAATAACAACTCAATACTTTTTAAAAATGCTAATTATATAAACACAATAGTAAACTTTACAAAAGGTAAAAGAGGAGGACTTTATATGTTTTTTTTTTGTTGAAATTACTTTTTATGTTACTTGATATGTTTCACTTTTGTTAGACTAATTAAAGCAATATGTATATTATGTTAATTCAAAAATTTACATAGTCAATTTGAAAATTAAAAATGGATTTAAAGAGAAAAAAAGATGGTAGTATTGATAGTTTTCCCCATTTTCTAAAAATTTCTGTCTAGCTCCGATTACTCCCCGCTTAATCGATAGGTCTATCCTATCCGCCTCGGTTAATGACTAATCTTTTAAATAAATCGGTCATCCGATTACACTCCTCCTAATCCGATTACTTCCTGCCTAATCTGAATACTCTTCGTTTAATCTTACATATCCCGATTACTTTAGATTACAAGTATAAAATAACTTTTCTTTTTGTTATTCAAATATTTAAATTGGGAGTTTATAATGTTTTATAATAACTTATGTTCAAATTTTAATAAAAATTATGAAAATTTGTCTGAAAAATACATTTTCATGTGTTTACGGCCGTTTGGAAAACAATATTAGATTAATCTGTTTTTTTAAATATTAAAATAATTCTAAAACTAGTCCCAACTAAAAACTAATTTTAATCCGATTTTCCGATTAATCGTTAGATCCATACCGAACGCCCGCTATTTTTTGAACGATGGTTTTCCCCAATATTTTATGGTACATTTGGAAAAAATCTTTAAAAATATGGGGACAGAAAAGTAAAAAGACAATCCACTAACAAAATGTGGGGCTTATGTGGCACATGAACCAATCAAAAACCTTTTTGGAAACCTCTCCGTCGACGTTTTGTTTTATTAAAAAAAAAACAAATACGTCATCAAATTCAATATTCAAGGGTAAAACCGTCATTTAAACAACATCGTCTCCTTTCTTTCTCTTCCATCTTCACTGCCACTCAAACACTTAACCACTGCTACACATTCTCTCTCTACCAATTCACCCAAAAAGAAGAGAGAGAAACTAAAAATTCTCTACATTTCTCTAACTCTCTAACAATGGCGGGTCGATTACAATCTCACCAATTACCAAGTGGACTCTACGTTTCAGGTAAACTCGAACAACCTAAAGAACGACCACCGACAATGGCGGCTCGTGCTATGCCTTACACCGGAGGCGATATCAAGAAATCCGGCGAGCTCGGAAGGATGTTCGACATCTCCGTCAATGATCCCACCTCGTTTCAAAGACCTCCGTCGATTTTCTCCGGCGAATCAGCTAGACAGCCACCGCCACGTGTCCCCTCTGCTTCGTCTTCGAATCCGAATAGTGGATCCGTTCGATCCGGATCTCAATCGGGTCTAATTAGAAAATCTTCAGGTCCTCTTTCTCAGCTTCAACCCACCGGTTTAATCACCTCCGGTCCGCTTAATTCGTCCGGTCCAATTGGGTCCGGGTCAAGAAGGTCGGGTCAGATTGATCAACATCATCAAACGAGTAATACAAGATCGAGCAAACCCAAGTATGGATCCGGTGTGACGGTTTTGAACTCGGATCCGATTCGGGTCGGGTTTAGAGTACCAAAAGCTGTGATTTGGGCAGTGATTGTAGTTGCAGGGATGGGTTTATTAATTGGTGCGTTTTATCTGTGGCGGTGAAGAAGCCATTAGTTGTGGTGGTGATTGTGGCGGCGATATTTCCGGCGGTCGTGGTTTTTGTGTGGAATTGTATTTGGAGAAGAAGAGGGTTAATGAGTTTCATCAAGAATCATCCAGATGCTGTGATTAGAGGCGCCATTGATGGACAATTCATCAAGGTCACAGGGGCAAGTTTCCAGTTTTAGTTAAAGACTTCATTTTTGTGTTACTCTGTTGCGTCTTAGACTCTTAGGTTAAGCTAATTGGTAATTTGATGAGTTAAGTAAGTTAATCAGTTGATTAGTTAGAATGTCATATTCATTGCCTCTTTTTTGTGTGATCATTGGCTTAGTTAGTGAGACTAATCAGTATTCCTGATATGGTAAACTTGTTATGATCTAGTCTAGTCTTTTGAGTGATCAATGAGGTATTGTTACGTTTATGTTTGCAGGTTGTAACATGTGGAAGTATCCCGCTTGAGTCGTCATACCAAAGGATACCGAGATGTGTTTATGTATCGACGGAATTGTATGAGTACAAAGGTTTTTGTGGGAAATCCGCTAACTTGAAACATAGATGTTTTTCGTGGGGATGCAGACATGCTGAGGTGTAGATTCTTTTTACTCTTTCTCCTCTTATTCAAGTGTTTTATCTGAATATTTGGTGATCATTGTTTTATTTGGTTATGTTGCAGAGATATGTATCGGATTTTTACATTTCGGACTTTCAATCCGGATTGCGAGCACTTGTTAAAGCAGGATATGGATCAAAAGTTTCTCCAATTGTCAAACCAACAACAGTAGCTAATGTAACCTCGCAAACTAAGGATTTATCTCCAAGCTTTCTACAATGGTTAGCGGATCGCAACCTTTCCAATGATAACTCTGCTATGCGTCTCAAAGAAGGGTATGATATTATTTACACCATGCATTTGCTTTCTGCTAAACGTCTTCATCCTTATACTTTGATCAAGTTAAGTACAAAGTGTCCCTCAAAACAAAATCCTTTTTTTACTACTAGAGTCACTCTTCAAATCTTGCAAGTGTGATTTCACGTTTCACCTAATCTAAACTTGAAACTTTAACCAAAATTTTTAAAACCCCTGTTGAATTTCAACAGAACGGCTAAATGAAACTAACCAACCATTGACTTTGCCTCTGACTTATGGATTTTGTTTCCTATGAGTATAAAGTCAGTGAGAACCATTTACTTTATGTGAAGGGTTAAAAAGTAAAGTCATTTAGTTTCCTATTTTAGTTCAAAGGAAGGATCTTTTGGTGCTTTTTAACCCTTAACATAAAGTATGAATGGCTTTAGTTCAAAGGAAGAATCTTTCTGTGCTTTGAACTCTTCTCAGAACAAGAAAGATTCTCAAAGTAAATAGCTTTATTACAAAAGAATGATCTTTATGCTGCTTTATTATTACCCTTCAAAGATTTTTTAAAAGTGTTGGTCTCTTTCTCAGACACATCTTACATGCACACACATATAATCATGTATTTCGAATCTTCTTGGCCATTTTGATGATACTATTTCTGAATTTGTTGATCAGATACATAAAAGAAGGGAGCACCGTAAGCGTGATGGGAATGGTGAGGCGACACGACAACGTTCTGATGATCATTCCTCCTGCGGAATCAGTCGCCACTGGCTGCAAATGGTGGCGTTGCCTCCTCCCAACTTATGTGGATGGCCTTATCATTACTTGTGACGAGAATCAGAATGCTGATGTCATTCCTGTCTGAAAAACACATATATAACATTACGTATGCATGTATGTATTGCTTCACTATTAATCTATAGAGCAAATTATATATAATGTATAGTCAAGAGCTAGGCCCTAAGACTGAAGAAAGAGTGGGATGAGAAAAGGAAACCATATCGGTTTTTTGCCTCTTACAATGGGGTTATGTTTTGTGTACATTAAAAAGGTTCAAGTGTAAATTTGTATTAAATTCTTTTGCTCCATTTTACTTTTTTTTGGAATCAGGTTTTATTGGAACTAAAGAAGTACAATTTTTGTATTTTTAAATTAAAACTTTGTGTGGTATTTCAAATTATAAAATAAATGTGTTGATGTGACTAATTTCGTATAATCATGTTGATGATTAGGACGACTCAAAGCAGGCAACTGGTGTCCTCTCCACCGTAAATGCTTCGTTCTTAAGTTTCTGACCTTTCTTCTTCCTTAAGTGAACTAATTTCTCGTAAACCAAAAAAAGTACTAATGAAAATTTTCAAAAAGAAAAGAAATGAATGAGCAAATTTATATTAACTTAAATTCTAGTTTAATGCATGCAAGGTGCTATCTTCGCTTAATATCTCTCTCTATTTTCTTGGAAACTGTTAAAATTATATATTCCTTCCCAACAGTGTTTTTAACCTTTCGCCTTCTTCCTCCTTTAAGTAGACCAAACTGATGATAAGCCAGCTTTTTCCTGTTGTCTTCGTTTGGGTTTGTTGATTCCTATTGCATCAGTTCTTTTGAAGAAACTGCTTAGAGCCTTGTAAGCCAAGTTATGTCTCTATGTAGCTATGACCTACTGCTATGAAGTAGGAAGTAGGAACCTAACTCAGCGTTTTCTTTGTTTATTATGTTGCAGAAAGATACTGTGACATGGAGAGGAACGAGAAGAAAAGTCTGATTAATCAAATCTTCTCTTGGTCCATCAATTATATTCTCAACAAAGATATCTACAAGGAAGAGATAAGGTCGATACCAGACAGGTTTTGGTCCGTTGATGAATACCTTAACTGCTTTGTTCCTCTGCTACTAGAGGAACACGTACCGAGTTGTTCTCAAGCTTGAACTCTTTGTGGAAAGCTCCTGTCTTTTACATACATTCCGTGGAGGCTACGGCAATTAAATTACCGAGTAGAAGCTCAAACAAGGTTAATATATCAGGACTGATGAGTGTTGCACAAGGAAATAGAACAAGTTACGAGCCGAAACATGGAGATCTCATTGCTCTCACAAAAGCAGCAAGGCCAACACGCGTGGATGACTTAAACCCACTGATTCTTGGATATGTGTTCTCTGTTGAAGATGAGCTACATTTCTCTGTTCATTCCTCCAAAACTATATCCATTGATGAGCAATTTTCGTTTCGTTCGGGGTGTTTTTCTTATGAATTTGACCACAAACACTCGTATCTGGAAGGCTTTGCACAACGGAGATGCCAACTTGAGTCTCATCAAGAGTGTCCTTCAAGCAAATACCGCGGTAAGTAATACAAAATGATGTTGCTTTAGTGTCTAATGTGGAGTAATCGTGGTTTTTTCCTTGTTAATCAGGATACAGAGCAGTCTGTTTCTTCTAGGAATTGGGGGAATGATGTATCGGGAATTATGCGGTCTGCAAACTTGAACACTTCTCAGGAATCTGCAATTTTGAGTTGCTTGGAGACAAGAAATTTACGTGACAAGGCTAGTGTGAAACTGATTTGGGGACCACCTGGTACCGGCAAGACAAAGACAGTTGCTACTCTTCTGTTTGCTCTTCTCAACCTAAGTTGCAAAACAGTTGTGTGTGCTCCTACAAACACGGCTGTAGTAGAAGTTGCATCGAGGCTCTTGGCGTTATTTAAGAAATCTTCTTCATCAGAACATTCTACTTACGGTCTTGGGAATATTCTTTTGGTCGGAAACCGAGCTAGAATGGGAATAGATGACAGGGGGAATGATGATCTCCTCAACGTGTTTCTTGAACATCGCATTAGTAAGTTGCGTAAACTGTTTTCGCCATTGACTGGATGGGAACGGAGTTTGGAGTCAGTCATAGATATTCTTGAAAATGTGGAGTCTAGTTATAAGAAATATCTCTTGTTAAATGAAAGAAGGGAGATTAAGGTAGAAAGTAAAAACATTCTTACAACATTTGGTGAGTTTGTAATGAAAATGTTTCTTGGCTCAAATGAAAGATCGGAGAAGGAAGAAGCTAAAAAGAAAGAAAAGATTCTTACATTTGGGAGTTTGTAATGAAAAAGTTTGATGGGCTAAGCGAAAAAATGGAGAAGGTCCAGAAGGATATGGTGGTTTTGTACACGCATCTGCCCAAGTCTTTTCTATCATCTAACGATGTGAAGAATATGATCGCAGCCCGTCAAGCTCTTCGCCGAGCCAGATCTTTCTTGCAGGAGAAACAAGGAAGCTTCACATTAGATTGCTTTAACAAACTCATCCGTGTTGATTGCCTTCAGACTCTACGTTTGCTATCAAAGCGTTTTGAGATTCCAGCCTCGTTGATAAACGAGGATATAAGGACATTCTGCCTACAAAATGCACACATAATCTTCTGCACTGCCTCGGGTGCTGCAGAAATGACCGCGGAACGAACAGGATCCATAGACTTGCTTGTAGTTGACGAGGCGGCTCAACTTAAAGAATGTGAATCAGTTGCTGCATTGAAACTTCAGGGTTTGCACCATGCTGTTCTAATAGGAGATGAGCTTCAGCTACCAGCAATGGTGCAAAGCGAGGTAAACTCTTTTGTCTTGTTGATCTGTTTTTGTTTGGCATTTTAAACGTAGGAATTGCGTTTGAAACATAGTTCTTGTGTGCGTAGGTATGTGAGAGGGCCAAATTTGGGAGAAGCTTGTTTGAGAGATTGGTTTTGATTGGCCACAAGAAACATTTGCTTAATGTTCAATATCGTATGCATCCCTCTATAAGCCTTTTTCCCAACATGGAGTTTTATGATGGTAACATCTCTGATGCTGAGATTGTTAAAGAAAGCACCTATCAAAAGCGGTTTCTTCGAGGAAACATGTTTGGCTCTTTCTCGTTCATCAACGTGGGACTCGGGAAAGAAGAGTTTGGTGATGGACATAGTCCTAAGAACATGGTTGAGGTTGCCGTGGTTTCTGAGATCTTAACCAATCTTTTCAAAGGTAAATATTTGTTGATCTTGTAAATTTTTAATCTGATTTTCAAAGGTAATTATGGTACTTTTTAACTTGCCTAATTTTTAAAACAGTGTCAAGTGAGGCAAAGACGAAGATGAGTGTTGGTGTTATTTCACCTTATAAAGCTCAAGTTAGAGCAATCCAAGAGAGGATCGGAGATAAGTACACCTCCGTATCAGATCAGCTTTTCACTTTGAATGTTCGGTCGGTGGATGGGTTTCAAGGAGGAGAAGAAGACATTATTATCATATCCACCGTTAGAAACAACGGTAACGGAAACATAGGGTTTCTCTCTAACCGTCAAAGAGCCAACGTTGCACTGACTCGTGCAAGGCACTGTTTATGGGTGATTGGTAACGAAAGAACTTTGGAGCTGAGTGGTTCGATTTGGACAAACTTGTAAGGGACTCGAAGAGACGTGGATGTTTCTATGATGTTGTTGATGATAAAAATTTAAGAGATGCCATGAACAATGCTCTTCCCAAGGTCGACATGTCTGATGTGTGGTCGAGTTTTCGATCTCTTTCAATCAGGAAAGAAAGAAGAAATGCTTGGTAGCTCTTTTACCAAGGTAATCTATGAATGGTTTTTAATTTGTTCTCTTTTTGTGGCTTCGATATCTATGGATAGTATTGAATTATTAGTGTATTTTATGAATCTCTTTCTTGCTAAACAAATAATTAATGTATCTACTATGTGGCAAGATCAATGTTCACATACTAGATGAATTACAACTCTCGTTGCGTCACTTTGTCAAAAGCAGTGTAGTCAGTGGCTTAGGTTCTATGACTACGGTTCGATCAGACTAGACTACTTAAAACCTAGCCTCCAAACACTGAGTCAAAAGAATTCCTATCACGATTGCTTCCAGTGATGAAGGAGAGGGGTAACTCGGAAGCGAATCTTACGCAGACCACTTATTTGGGTGAATAAAAGTAGTCAACACATTAAACCCAAATGTAAACCAAAACAAACATAAAACCTAACCTATATACATTCATACGAAACCCGAACTTTATTGCTCTAACTTCGAAAAAAAAAACCCAAACGAGTCTTTCTAATGAAGAAATTATCTTTTACAAGACCAATAAAGATATCCAATGGCCTCATGATATTATTGGAACTTCTTTCTTCTCTTAAAATCTTATTTTTGTTTGAAAACTTATAAAACGATCTCTACTTACTTGTTACCCTGATTGCATTTTTTTACGCTATTATTGATGGGAAAATTGGTTTAGAGTCTTGAGGGCATTCCTCCAGCGACGACCAAAGTTTTCTCCCGTGATGTAAGAAGAATCATCTGATGCTAAGAAAGCAGGCCGCAGCAGCCATGTCTCCCGTTGTTCCCAACCTGTTAAGCAGAGTCTTCTCTTCGATGCCGTCCCTCTGAGCATATCCACAAGTGTTCAATTATTATTATTCCATCACTTGAGACACAATCTCATAATCTCAGTCTAACAGTTTCAATTTTATAAGATTACCACTTCGGAGCTTCCGGGTGATGAAAGAAGCAAAGTGTGTGGGCACAAAACCGGGTGCAACTGCGTTCACACGTGTATCGGGAGCCATCTCTGCAGCAAGTGCCCTGAGAAACATGATGTATAATGTCATAATCATCATCATAACCATTCATCATGAGATGGAGACAATGATACACATACCTTGGTTAGTCCGAGAAGAGCAGTCTTAGTGACCCCATACATAGCCATGGCTCCTTGTGGTTGAAATCCAGCAATAGAAGTTATGAAGATAACAGAAGAACCCTTCTCTAGGTGAGGAGCCATATCCTGGTAAAATGAAACATAGAGGAGTCAAATCAAATTTGGGGCCATGGAAAGTGGAAACAAAATGCTAACACTTCAGTATGTTTTGCATCCTTTGTATATAACTAATAAAAGGAAAGCTTTACCTGAAGGAGAAGTATAGAAGATTTGACATTGATTTCCCATAGCTTGTAAGAACAGCTCTTTACTAGACACGATGGGTCTGTAGATGGATTGGCAGCGGCGTTACAGACAACTATATCATCTTTCCATATTTCTGATACCGAAACACACAAAACCATCTCTTCAGTAAATCAAAGGTGCGCACAGGACAATCAACAACAATAAAAACAACTTGTTGGTTATGTAAATTGTTCATAATAATTGAACCAGAAGCTCATAAATCTAGTACCTGTACAGTCTTTTCGACAAGATTGCGGCGATGTTGAGCATTGGAAACATGACAGACGATTCCATATGCATCAATCCCTTGGATTTGAGTTTTGCTACTGCCTCATCAACATTTGCCTGCACAAAAAGCAACCCTTTTAGTCAGGAGAAAAGTTGGCTAAACAAAGCTACGAGTTTTCAGAATACACAAAATCTGCTGCTCTAATCTACAGAATTTTCACAATTCTGTCTACAGTAAAACTGCAAAATCAAAATCCCCAATAACAAAAGCTTTATCTAATGAAAGCACAAATACTAAGATCCAGAAAATCAACAATTTCATCATCTTATTCAAATTCCAAATATGAAATAATAAGAAAGAAACTGGGGAGATCGTGAACCTGTTTGCGGGAAGAGACGACGACGGAAGCGCCTTCGAGACCGAAACGCTCAATGATTCCGAAGCCAATTCCTTGCGTCGAAGCAGTCACAATCGCGACTTTACCTTCCAATCTTCTCGGTAGCTTCTTCTCCATTTCTATCTTTTTTGTTTTTTGCTTCTTCCAATGATTGTTTTTTTCCTTCTCGCTTGCTTCTCTCTCTCTTTTGCGTTTGAAGCGTTTAAATAAATGTGACAAGCGTTTGAAGCGTTTGAAGCGTTTGTGGTAACGTTTGGACTTTGGAGACACAAATCCAGTGGATTCTATTTCTAACTATAGTGACACAAAAATATTATTTACCAAAAACAAAAAGAATGATTCAATAATCCTATGAATTTGTTGGAAATAGATTCGTTTTAGTAAAATAAAAAAGGAAAATCAAGAAATTGGAAAAGAAAGACAATCGGAAAACAAACAAAAAAGGAAATCAAGATACAAAAGAATTTGAACAAAAACAAAGTCATGAAGGAAAAAAGGCAAACAAGAAAAATGGAAATTGTTACAATATTAATATCACAAACTCTATAAATAGAGAGGTCTTGTGTTAGAGATTAATCATAACGAAGAGAACCAAAAACACTAAAGAGAGACCTAATAATGAGAATTGTTGTTTCGGAACCTCATTGTCCCAAAAGCGTCCCAAGGGTTTAGCTATGACCCTGAGCCTAACAGGAGTTTCGATCGCTTGGTCTGTGAGACCGAGTCTTTCGCAAAGAAACTCAATGCTTTAAGAACGGGAAGGAGTGATAGAGGATTCGTAGTGCGTGTATCAGAAGATGATATGGATAGTGATGAAGATGTAGATCATAGTGCTCAAGAAGAAGAAGATTATAGTCAAATCTGTACCTGTGATGATTTATACTTGAGTGATGATGAGTTTGATCATGAGCTTGATTATATGATGGATAAGATGGGTTTGGCTGAGAACGACCACCAAACCAAAAGTAAGGAAGATGTTAAGAATCAAGTATCAGTTTGTTGAAAGGAAATTATGAATGAGATTGAAACGTCTCGCTCTGCTTTAGCTCGGGTTGAGAAGTACCGCGAAAATCGTAGAGAAGTTGAACGGAGACTTGATCTTCAATATAAGCGAAAAGTTGCTGAAGCACTTGATACTCATATGAGTGCAGTCCAACGTGAACATAAAATTAAATCGTATATAGAAGAAAGAAAGATAAGGAGAGAAGAAGCTCAGGAAGAAGCCAAGAAGAGAGAAAGGGCAAATCAAGAAGAGAAAATACGTCAAGAAAAAGGTGAAAAAGGAGGTCATAGAGAGAGTTAGTGTTGTTGCTTTGGCATTGGAGAAGCAAAGATTGAAGAAACTTGAAGAGTTAGAATCAATGAACAAAGAGCTGAAATCACGTTTAAATCAGGACTTTAGGAGTTGAAAGGAGAATTGGAAGGGCGATAAGGCAAATAACTGGAGTAAAGGATACGGTGAATGCGAAAATCAACGAAATCGTCAAAGTATTTAAAGATCCTCGTTGTCCTTTATCCATCAGTATTGCAGCTTTTGCAAAGAGGATGTCTCCTCTAGGCAAAACCCTTTTGCATGCAGCTACATCATTGTTTATGTCACTTCGAAGTTTCCACAAGCTATGGATATTCTTCTTGCTGAATTCCACAAAGCTTGCATTTACACTGTCCCAAATCATGATGTAATTCACAGTCAATGTGGGGATTCCGAGGCATATGAGCGCCTAGATTCTACAATGAGGCTATACGGTGCACTTGTCCAGACTGATATTCGCGGTGGTAATGCTACTAACCTTCATGGGATAGAACATGGATGGGCTTGGTTAGCTCGGTTCTTTAAACAACATCTCAGCCATCAACATAGCTACTGCGACAGCGTTAAACGCCTTTCTCCAAACGGCAGGGTTTGGTCTTCATCAACGGTACAAATCTCAGTTTGTGAAAGTTATGAACGTTGTGCGAGAGCATTTCTTGACGAAACTGAGGGAAGAAAAGGATATACATTGATCACGGCGTACTTAGATGACCGGATGTACCTCAAGGAACCTGAAGGAAGAACTATGAAGACGAGTCTCTTGTGAACGGAGTATACCGCTGTTTTAGATCAGCAGAACAACAATCAGCATTACCAGAGGATGATTACATAAACTGCTATTGATTTGATGTATAATTCAGTTCTTTCATAACGTTTTCAAATTTTTTAATTTCAAAATGAATTGGTTAACACTTGCTGATTTGAACATTTAACACATTCAGAAGAACAAAAAACATAAGTCCAAATATTTAACATACTCTGAAACTTCAAGTAAGTTTGTTGAAGTAGCTGACATTATTATTTAATCATAAGGATTTCTGAATTTCTTCAAGAGATCTGGAATATCGTATCCCAGCATATCATCCACTGCTTGAATCATCTTCGGCTTCAATTTCTCGAATTTGTCAATGTTATAGCCTCCCAATACTTCTCTGAAATGCTCCACACTTGGGAAGTCTCCAGCCGGAAGATGAAACTCTCGCTGCACCTGTTTTTTTTTACATAGGAGGTTTTCATAATACTGGAAACATGTGTAAAAAATACGAGATAAATGTGTAATGTACATTCTGGTTTGGCTTACAGTCAAATACTTTGGTTTAAAACATGAAGAAATCAATTCTAATTCTACTACCAAAATTTATCATAGAAAGATTTTCACAGTAATTGCAAATGTTTAACCCCTATAGGGCTACACCTAATGCGATTAGTCTTAAGTTCTAGACCAAATGAGATATTTACTAACCTTTCCAAATTCTTCTTCGAGATTGTCCATGAGACGTTGCTGAGCTTTCGATTTGCCCATCATTGCTGGCATTTCCTTCTTAAGGTGACTCATTATGTATGCATTGATCTTTGCAGCTCGAGCTCGCTTCACAAACTCGTTAATCTGCAAAGTATAACAAAAAGATAGTCAAGTCCTCCTTTTCAACTTCCAGAATGTCCTGAACTGAGACTTGTAATTCACATTACTGTCTAAACTAAGACTCATTAAAATCATACCTTTCTGTCACATGCTTTCTTGGGTATGTCCATTAAGTCTGCTAGAAGATCAGTTTGCTCTTTCTCAAAAAGTTCTTTTCCAATCGGTCCAACTGCATCTTCGTTTATGGGTTTGTCGTTGAAGGACCTGCACAAGTTAAAAGCAAAGAACAAATCAATCTATTATGTTGACAAATGAAATTAATGGCTTGCTAACTTCTTTGTTGACAATTCATGTTGTACTAAAAAAAACATACCCAATATAGACACGTACGACCTCTGGTGTGTCAGGACTTTACCAAGCGACCACATCAATGCTCCATACACTCTCATTAGCTTTAGAAAAAGCGGCACAATGATGAGTAAAAATGAAGCTTATGAACGTAACAAATGAATGAGACGAAATCGAAACTTACTTGTTGAGTATCAACTTGGTCAGCTTTGTTTAAGACAACACGGATCTTGTCTTCATTACCACGTAGAGATGTTATCACGCGTTGAATTCATCACTGATGTCAAGCTTGTGGGGATCAAAGAGAAGAAGAATCATATCACATTTAGATGCAAACCATGAATGACACCAGTGAAGTCATAGCTCCTTTGCATCCTTTGCTTCTCTCCTGAAAGAACACCAGGTGTGTCTACAAGAGTAATTTGGTCCAAAACCTACACAGAAACAGGAAGACAAAGCTTGTATAACCAACAGAGGGAAAGATAAAGAATAGGCAGTGAGGTAATGCTTAATCACTCACCGGATGCGGCATTTGAGAACACTCGAACTTGAGAGGAAAGCAACCTCCAAAACTGGTTAGCCCGTTAAATGGCATGTCAGCTTGAACAGCCATGGTATTTCCAGGTATGGTCCGTTCATCTGGTCCACTCTATAAGAAAATCAAATCACAAGAATTAACTTAAATGAATACAACAAGTAACTAGCAGTCCTTTAACAAAATCAGAAACATCAACTTACCATTGCAACCACAAATCTATCTGTTGTTGGCTCTGGACCAATGTGAGCTCCTGATAACAAGATGGCGAGGGTGAACATACAGAATTGAAGATTCCTTGTATTTCCAAGAGTTAAGGAAACGGAGCAAGGTACCTGGGTAGTCACATCCGAGTAAGTGTTTTATAAATGTTGTTTTAAACCGGTGGAATACTGACCCAAAAGCATTACCATTGGCTTGGCATCAAAATCGCTTTAGTCTGCAAATCAACAAAGAGGGTATCAAATGAACAAACTAAGAATCATTTTCCATGGTAATATAGATATGAGTTCGTTAACTCTTGACCGAAAAAAGAGGAATAAACAAAACCTCACAAGTGTTCTGAACCAGTAAGGATAACATAAATTCACTTACCAGTACTGGAGATGCAAAATCGTTGAAACGATATGTGACTTCCAAAGGCTTTAGCTTTTCATGTACAATCTTTTCAAGCCAATCAACAATTGTCACAACATTCACTTGTGGCTGGACAATGCAAAGTAGCAGATTACTTGTTAGAACAGACAAAAAAAAATATCTAGAAGATGGACATTGCAGCAACAAGCAAGTATTATCCTACCTTGATAATAGATTTTGATTTGAACCAAGGAGCTTTAGCCGTGACTTGTAGCTTGGTACCTACTGCAAGTTTAGCCAGCAAATCAACAATTTTTACATAACAAAAACATCAATGAATGAATCAATTGGTAAAAAGAAAGAATGTTGTTCAACCATTTTCTTCAACATCCACATTTGTTTTGCCACTTTCTGCTTCTGTAAGACATTCTTAGATTAGGAAAGCCAAACCATGTAAAGATTCAAAAACAAAATGAGATAAGAAAGAGTCTCACAGATACCACGTTTTCTAGTCCTTCCAACACTGGAAGTTCCACACTCTTCATATCAACTACAATAAATAAATAAATAAATAAAAGATAGAGATTAGCCATTTCTGATAAAAGAATCCAACCTAATTGCTATATCTACTAACAAACGATGCTACTGTCTTTGACCATCAAGCTCTTACATCAGAACCTATTGATTCAAACATTTTAAGATGTAATTTTCCAATTACCTGAGCCTTTGAGAAGGTCTGAAGTAATTCATGTCCTCTTGTGCCAATGAGACGAGCTGAGCAACAAAATCAGTCCAATGAGTAAGAAATTCAACCAAAAAAATTCAATTAACATATGTATCCGATACAATTATACCTTCATCGCAGTGATGAACTCCGATAACCGAGAAATCCTTGCCGCTTCGATCCGCAACTGCCCAAACCTTTCAAAACCAAAATCCAACTAATACAAATCAACCCTAGGTTATACACTTCAAAATCCACTTCATATTCTTATAAGTTCCACGGATTCATGAACTCAGAGAGTACAATCTTAAACCAAATAGCCTATATATTACACGATTCGTCGATTATAAGAATAATAACCTGTTTGAGTTCCTGGCGAGAAGCTTTGACATCGCGAAGAACTTCGTAGCATCGTTACCGGAAACACGACCATCTCCATCTGAAATCTCAGAGAATCTAAACAAAATCAGAACAGAATAATCACGACGGACTAGTGAATTCAATCTGAGAAGGAGGAAAAAAGCACAGAACCTGAATCGGCGATGTTGAACCATTCCTTGTAGATCTTCTGATCTCTTTCAAACAAGTACGATCGAGATCGCCGACGACGTCTCCATTACTGAGAGATGAAGAAGAAGAGAGATAGAGAGAGAAAAATGGTTTCTGAAATTTGAAATTGAAACTGAATTGTTGAGGTAGAGAGAGAGAGAGCGTCTAGAGAGAAAAGGAGATAATTCCAAATAGAGGATTTTAACGGGATTGCGCTTGTCGAGGAAGGGGGAACTATTACGACGTCGTTTTAGGAAGCCGACACGCTGTGTAACTCATGAAGTTTAAAACAACGTGAAGTTGGATTTAATAGCTAATTAGCCTAATTAACTAGATTTTTTTCCTATTACAGTTTACAAGAAGATCAGATTTTTTGCAAAAGCAATTACGGCTGTGATTTGATATCCGAAGCTCGCAGATATATATATATATATTTTCTCTTTTTCTAAATTTGAAAAACTTGAATAAAAGCCGCCATTTTGCAAAATTTCAGCGCAGCATACCTAAATAATTTGTGTTATCCTAAAGTTGTATCACACAAGTCACAAATTATGAGAAGATCACAAAACCATAATCATACATTTCACACTAGGATTCATCAATTAGACCAAACATATTTTTCAAAAATCAGTTTTTACTTTTTACACACAATCAATAAACATGATCTGGACGCATATAATAACTAAAAAAGGAAATACACACATTGAATATTTGTATCTATAGACGATCTACAAAAAAAAATCTGTTATATCGCCATTGTTGAAATAAAACATCTTTGGTACTAATCTCGTCGTGTGTTGTGTGACACTGATTTCGTTTTCATGTTATGTTCACTGCCAAAAACCAAAAACAAGAAGAGAATGTTTTCGGTTTATGTACAAGAGGAGAGTGATGAAATGAAAAATATAGATTTATAGAAACATATAACATTACCGATTGTCTTTTTGAGTAGCCATAGAAGAAGAGCAAGCTCGATGCTAAAGATCATACGCAACCATGTTTTATCCACCAAGAATCCATAAACAGTGATCCCTGCTCTGTTGTTCTCTAGATAGGTCACTATATATATACAAGAGAGATACCGAATTAGTTGAACGGCGAAAAAGATTTATTCGAATCATCGTCTAATTCAAGATTTTATTTACCTAGAGCTTGACGTTTCTGGGAAGAAATAGCGCGGGCAAAGATTGGATGTATATCAAGATCATTGTGATCTCCTTCTCCTTCTTCATCGTCGTCAGATGATTGAATAACATTACGACGACGCGATAAAATCTGGGAGTGTTGTATGGTCGTTGGACATTTAGGAGTCTCTCCATCATCAAGAACATCAAATGTATCTAAAGATGCGCAAACGTTCCACTTTGTGGCGATGCTCGTAACAGATTGAGCTTTATGAGTCATCTGCGTTGCACTTTTCAAGCATATGAATAGCCCTGATACCAAGCTTATGGAGCATAACTGTAAAAAAACAGAGACATTAAACAAAATAATGTTAAAAGACAACCTCAGCAAAATTTAAACATGTAAGAACAATGATTGAAAAATTTGCGTCTCTCTATGAAAGTGAAGAGGATTTCTTACCGCGAGTTCGCCAACTTCGTAAATATTAAAAGGAACACTAGCTCTGATGGTGGTAAGCAATGCCATGAACTGAGTGGCAGTGACGAAAAACAATGACAAAAGAATGAATCGCCTGAAACGGTGACTAACAATCTTCAGTTCACGCCGGATTTTGAGATGCTCGGCGAGTATGGAGTTAAAATCTTTGATCTCAGAGGCGAAACAACGGGCGAATTCATCAAGACGGAGGACCTGGAGGTGGCAGATGTTTTTGTAGAGGATACAAGCGATGATGAAGAGTGATGTACGGTAGAGCCAAGAAGAGAGCTGGAGTGTGCAGGCTAAGACATGGCTCAGCATTGGGTTGATGATGTAAGGGATTTGGTTAAAGCCTGAAGCATACCACCAAATGCGATAGATAGCTTGAAGCGTTATCGATGGGAGGACGAAGATAGCTAGTAGCTTCATTGATCTCTGCAACAAGAAACAGAGGAGACTATCAATTTTTATTCATTTCACTAATTACTAATTTTAATTCCAAATAAGTCGATTCTTAATTATGAAATTAGATACTAATCACTATAATTAGCAGGTACGTTTAATTTACCTGGATTTCAGCTTCGTATCCGATCCTAACTTTATCGGTAACATCTTTAAGCTTATCGAAGAAGAGAAATCTTCGGATTCCATATTTCTTGGACCAATCTGAGAGACTAACGAACGAGATTCCGGCGAAGATCGATAACGAAAGCTGCACTAATCCGTCGTAAGGACGGCGGTGTTTGAAATCGCAATCGGCGCAGATTAATACGAAGTGAGAGATCATTGGGACGATGACGGCGAGGAGGAAGAAGATGGACCATGAAGTGAGAGTTTTAACGCAATTTGATTGATCAAACCAGAGAAGGAGATTCGGGAACGAGAATTTGGTGGCTGGTGATTCCGGTGGTTTGTTGATCGGGTCGGGTCGGGTTGAGCAGTTGAGGAATTGTTGAGATCGTTGGTTTGATGATTCTTCCATGATCGGGTTTGAGGGTAATTTCGGAATTTGAGATAATCTGCAGAGTTTTGGACTTTTGACTTGAAATGGAAGGGAAAAGCTAATAAGTACCGGCACTTTGGATTTTGTAAGCCACCTGTACTAAACAACATTTATAATTAAAAATAATAATATACGATTATTTAATTTAGATTTATATACTTCTTTTTCCATTAACGGTGGCAATTTTTGTTTAAATTTAATTATTATTATTATTTAATCTTAAATTAATTAAGATTATAGTGGTAGACGGATATAATATACGGAATGGAACATTATGGTCGAGATATTCGGAGTAATACAATTTAGTTTTTTTTTATCAAAAAATTATTTAGAAAATACTTTTCGATCCAATTCATATCCGATTTTGGTTCCAATATTGTGAATAGTTTATAAATGAAAAGTGTAGGTGTAATATAAATGAAAAGTTAAATGTTTTTGGGGTCATGGTTTCTACTTTCTACTTTCTACTTGACTAAACTTGTATTTTTTAATATCTTGTAACGAATGTGTATAGATCGGATTTAAACTCAGATGTGATGTCAATTTTATATCTCTGAAATATAGACTATCAAACTAATAATTCATATGATATTATAGAAAATTTGGGTTTAATAATCTTGTATGTCTCACATTTGACCCTCTCCCCCATGTGTCCCCTTCACTTATACGTGAAATAGTTTAGACGGCACAAAAATATGCCACATTTCGTTAGAAACAATTTATATAATGATTGATTTGTTATTTAAGGAATCTTAAATTTCTTTGTTGACATTTCACTTTCATGTAAGACAAAGCACGTCTCCACTTTTTAAGTAATCTCACAGCACATGGAATTGTTTTACCGGAATTTTTATGCTTTAAATATATATATATATATATATGCTTGGCATTGTGTATCGTTGGAGCCAGTGTGGTCGGGGGTAGAAAATGGAGATAAATAAAGCAATTGACTGATTACGATCGGTGGAAAATTGGTAAAACTAATATAAGGATAATGTAGATTTTAATAGAAATATATGAATTGGTATAGTAGAAACTAGAAACATAAGTAATATATACAAAAATCATTTTAACAAAAAAAAGAAAGAAAGAATAATAAGATTAAACCAATATAGCGTAACTAAAACTTATTAAACGACGAATTACAATTATATAAACTTTTTAAATTGCATAATGATTATGTACAATATTATGTTAGGTGAGATTAGAAAATCGTAGGGTTGGAATTTTCAAGAAAACGAGAATAATCACGATAAGTCGAAAGGACAGAGGTAAAAATGTTATTTGAAAGAGTATGCTCGGCATGTTTATGATATGGAGTCTTGATAGAGAGCGGAAGCTAAATAACGGACGAGAACACAAGATCTCCACGAGAACTCGGATTCACGAACGGATCTTGCCTAGAACGTCGAAACTTGACGAAGAAGCAATAGGGATAGGGTCGAGATCGGTAACGATATCAATGTGGTTTTGCATGTCCTCCTTGCAGGGCTTGAACACAAGCTCTTAGGGTTGAGAGTCCTCCTCTCTAGGCTTTACACAAAGCTCTCTTAAAACTCGTTTATTCAATAATCAAAAGTTGCCCCTCTTAACGCATAATCTAAGCCTTATATAAGGCGTTCATAAACAAAAACCCTAATCTAAAATCATAAACGTATATACTAATTAAAAGCCCAAAATAAAAGCCCATGTATCATAGATGACGCTACATCAGTCTCCTCGGGTTAGAGAAGATTCGTCCTCGAATCTTGCGACGTTCGATCTTGAAGATGCGCTGCATCAGTCCCTCCGGGTTAGAAAGATTCGACCCGAATCTTAAATCGTTGAACATATCCTTTGTCCACCAATTCATAATACTTGCGCATAAGAACTTCATGGCCTTTCTTTTTCCGCCTCAAGTGCAACTTGTTAAGACTTCCTTCATAAAGAGCCTTCGTCAAAACAATTAGGCTATCCAAACTTCCTTGAACACATGTGACCAAAAGATCTTCTTTTTCCATGCCTTCTTGTCTCCAATCGCATGCTAGAGATAATTCTTTACGAAGTGCTAGTGACACACTCAACATAACAATGTAGAACAGAGCTTAGTTGTTCTTCTTCCCCCACATTATTATAACCAGAAAATGACTTCCCCAACATACACTCTCGTGAAAAGAGAGTCATAAATATGTTATTTTCAACACATAGTTTCACCATATTCCTCTTGATTGTATCCAAAGCTCCAATGGTAAAGAAAAAATCAACGTGGTTTATGATATTTACGTCTTCGCCGGAGACGTCGCGTTGAGGAAAAGATGGAGTTTGCCGTATGTTTTTTTCTTGTTCAAAACCCCAATCCAAAAACTCTGTTGTTGACTTGCATATGTTGATTTCATCTTCTTTATGATTTCTCTCTTAACTCACATGGAAATCTTCTCTTATCAATCCCCAATGACCAAAAGGTACAAGAATTTTTACTTTCTCAAGCACTTTAACTTCAATTTTCTCTCTGTCTTCTCCGTGAGAATCATCATCACAAAGATTGATATTCTCAATATAGATACCTGAAACTAGAGAATCACTGAGCTTGTTGTGGAGTTCTACCTCACTGTGAACATAAAAAATCTCGCTTCGCCCACGATCTGGAGGTTCACTATAAATTTTCCGATGACGATTTGTAAGATAAATAGAGACATAGAGTAATCGTGCTTTCCCAGTTTCCCTTATTCATGTATGAATCTTCGTCTTCATCGAAAATTGGATCTCCATCATAGACGCGATCTGCAGTTGAAAAATCATCACGATAAACTTCACTATCTTCATCACCATACACGTCACCGATCGTATCATCAATGCTATTTTGCAGGAGACACAATTCACACTTGTC